AAGACTATCAGGCGAGCAAAACCATGCATTTCACTTAATTTCCGTGTAGGAAAATAATTATCAATGTTTAGTCTTAAGCAATTATGAATACCTGGTAGCAAGTATTACTAAATTCAATGTCACATTTGGGTAAAGCTTTAATAAAGAAAGTTAAGACTGTCTTTTCAACTACAAATTATTTCCGTGAACGTTTAGAAATGAATTTTGATGCCTGCCTTGGCATTTTATTTTTTTAGATTCGAAGGAAGAAAAAAATCAAACCGTGATCCAGCTTTGTTTACATGAAGATACGGAGCTTAACCTTCGTCTTTGCAGTTAATTTCCGTTATAAAATCAAACGCTTGGTATACAATTTCGAAATCTCACTGTTTGCCAAACGGGTAGATACAAGCACATGAGTAAATATGCCCTAGTAAATATTCCATCAAATATCAAACCGTATATATATTCACACTTGATGATTTCAGTCACTGGCAGAACCTTGGACAATCCATTTCTGTTTTGTAAATCACTGCTCGAATTAAATATTACAGCGGGAGAGTCAATAACAAACTTATTGTCGCATTATTATGCAGTGAACCATTTAATACGTACATGGAACACAAATTTCGTGGCTAACTATTTCAGTTTGCCAAAAATTGTAAACCTAATAAAAATATGTGCCATTTTTCAGCTGTCAACAAACCAGGAAAGTTTCCTATTCAATAGCAAATTACTCAATCATCGAAGTTTTTTCCTGCAATGTTACCAAGACTACCAAAGATTGTGCATGATTAAACAAAAAGGGAATTTACACATCTCCAGCTGCTTTTTCATTCTAAACGATTTCCCAGATATTCAATAAATAGCAATTATCAAATCTAACTTGGGCGAAATTATCCCAAGTTAGGTAAAACTGGATAGTCTATCCGTGCATTGCGTAAACCATCTTAATCAATTTCAGTTTTTCGAACGAAAGGACATGCGTAGTCAAGAGCTCTCTGAAGTGAGATCAAACCACCAAATTATTTTTAGACAATAACATAAAACATTTTGTCATGATACAATTAAGCACTCAATGTTTGAATAACAAGAGTTAATTACTGCCAATACCTGTCGGGTTGTGCATGTGATTTAAAATTTACTGCGAACGACGGACAAAACTTAGAGATGAAGTGACGCCATGAAACTGTAAAGATTTAATCATTAATTGGGAGTGCTCGCTATTTAGAGTATCTTGAAAAGATTTCCTAAGAGAAATTTGAAAGATTTATCTCTAGCTCCTAGGTTAGTATCTACAATTGTTACTGACCCAGCTTGCGGTAAACAGATGTGGGAATATTAATCCAAAAATTAGCAAAACATAAGAACGTGATCACAAAAACTCTAAGCTTCAAAATCGAACACGTAAGGCCGAGATAATGTTATATTGACCAACTTCTGTTGTCACTTGCTGTTGTTGTTGTTGGTCAAGTGAAGCGTGATTAACTCGAGGTTCACTTAAATGAAAATAATCAAATGGCCATCACTGGAGCGGTCTGGGTGAAAACTGAGATAAGTCTGGACCTCTTGATCCACCAATCACAGTTCATGATTCTGTTCATCATGACTTCGCGCGTACCAATGGAAAGTAACAATAAATAATATTAAATTTTTTGGACTTCCCAGAATGACATTGTCAATCGGTGATAATCAGGTCGAAAATTCGTTTACTCTGCGCCTCACAGGAAAAATACTGATAATAATAATAATAATGTTGTTTTGTCTGTGCCCTGTAGCTGGTTACATAGGCTTGTAGTTTATAATCTTCCACTATCAGAGCAATTCATTTCAAGTTGAGATGTATGCAGATTGCGACAGAAAGAGGAACTGGTGATCAAATGTTAGTCAAATGCCATTTATCTCATCGACAGGTAGTCAAAAAAGGTAAAAAAAAAAGTATCTAAAAGGGAAATATTGTTAACGAGCAGATTACTTAGTAGCACTATATATATTCAAGGATGGGAAACAAATATCTCGTAGACCTTAGAACTTGGATTTTAGTCAGTTCTACTGAAAGTCTTCCATTTCAGAAATTTTCCTTTAGTATTAGTAATATCTGCAGTCTGTCTCCAGTGTTATTTACTCTATATAATGCAAAAACGTATAACTTCAAGCGATTTCGATCCAAGATTCGTCATATTGGAAGGTGATCGCATACAGCAATATGCGGCAAGCTTTCCTTCAGACTTCGATACATACACGTAAATCATATCGCCACGGTCTCAACTCTAGTAGAGGCGATTGCGCAAAAAGTCAACACCTCATGCTTTGGCTTGCTAAGGGATCAAACTACAGATTGTAACTTTAATTTTTTCGGGTTACCTTCAATGTAAACAATGTATTTACAAAGGTACATTTGCCATTGAATCGAGTTCCGGGAGAACTGTGTAGACTTTATCTTGTCAAAGCTTTATGCAAAATGGGTTACATGTGATTGAATACGTCTAAGCATGCTTCGCCTCTATTTTACAAATCACCCAAATTATTCCACTAACCACACAAGATATACCTTTTTCAAGTCAATCTTAGGGTTAGGTTTTATAAACTGCGATGGTGAGGGGAAAAAATGCAATTTTACTTTTTTAAAATAGCGGCTTGTCAAAAAGAAAATCGAGTATAAGCGTCTTTCCGCGCAATGAGGCAAGACAAGCAGTCAGCAGCGGTTTTGTGGTGTCCTCCAAGGTTATTGTATTTTAATTTGACGAAAACAAATGTATGAAACGAAGAAAAAGAGCGAATTGATTTCGACTTTTTTATCTATCGTATAATAAGTGGGCAGGTGAGTAGTTTTCAGTTCCGGTCGAAACACAATGCCGTTTTATTACTTATCGAGATGGCGGTTTTTAATGTCACATCCTTCATTAGTTGCTTTAAGTGTTTGTGGTATTTCAATTTTTCAATAAGAATATGGGTCCGTAGTCAACATAAAAGACGATTTAGTGGAGGCAGCTTGGTAGACATGCAAGGTTATCGCATCAATAAGCTAAGCACTCAATGTCTTTTTGTAAAGCTCTATCGTACTGGCCGAAAACCTGGTGCAAGCTATAATAAATAAAAGCAAATGGTAATAGCATTTCCTGTTGGAAATTTTAGACTTCCTCTCACCTTTACAAAGTGATTTTAATATCTCGACAACCTGCACGAAACAAACAGAGAATGGAAAGTCTGTGGTATTGCTTTACATGTTTAATTCATTTTAATTTCAGTGAGGCGACGAATATCTTATCCTTGACACCCACAACATGTAAAACATGATGCTTTTGTTTTTCCTGCGCACGAATGCAACATGATACTTAATCCTCGCAAACTAAAAAATAAATTAAAATATATATATTTGGTTACACTAAATTAGAAATAGGTATCTCGTAATCTCCTAGACCTCAGAAAGTCGAGGACGTCAGGTTCTGCTGTAAGTCTTTCAGTTTAAACATTTTCTGTTAGTATTTGTAGTATCTGTAGTATGTTGTTAGTATCTTTAAACGTTATGGCAAAAAGCTAAATTTCAAGCGAATTTGATCAAAGATTCTTTAATTGAAAGGTGATCGCCTGCAATACTATGCTGAAAGCGCTCAGTCAGACTACAAGAGACATAATTAAATCATCGCTATGGTCTGAACCTTTAGTACAGGATTTTGGACTTCCTCGTAGCCTTACTAAGAAATTATGATATCTCGACACCTGCAAGACACAAACAGGGAATGGAAAGTCTGTGGTATTGCATGTCTACATCATTTTAATTTCAGTGATATCTTATCCTTGACATCACCAAAGTGCAAAACGTGATACTTTTGTATTTTTCTGCTTATCAATGCAACATGACACTTCTGAGTTCGTTGCAAAAAGACGAATTTATAATCTTGCGTTTTCTTTCTATATATATCTAGAACTATTTTTAACTGGCCAAATTGTGTCTTAAAATGTGTATCGTCAACATATTCACTGACAATGTAGAATGGAGAAAAAATTTAATTACAACCTACGTAATAAGAAGTCCAACTTACATTAATGCAGACTCTATATCTTTAGCAGATGGCCTATCCTGCCCATCTGGTGACCTTTTAAAGAATTCACATGGAATAATTTGGCCAAGAAAAAAAATATTCAAAATATCGAGCATATGTTGTTGCTTAAGAAAGGAGATTGCTTACTTGTCATCAGACTAAAACTTAATAATTATTTTAGGTTTCTACATAAGACATTTTTGTGACTTTTCAGTTTTGGTGTCCTGTCTTAGGAGGGGAGCGGGGGGAGGATTGCTGCTTTAAAAAGTGTTTTTCAATGATGCATGTTTAACTATATGGACTATTTTTTTTTTCACCTTTTTTAGGAATATGTTACTACCTTAGTAGATGTTATTACACACTATTCATGAAAATGTAGGGTATTAGAAATATAGTAACAATTTGACAGCATGAAAAATAAGAGAGTGTAGACTTAAAAAGGTTTCATATTTGAACAATGACCAAAGTAGCTCTCCCCCCCCCCCCACAACCCTTATGACACCCAAACTTATGCCAACGATATCCCAGCTTCGAAAGATAAGCTATCAGTCGCTCTCACGATGGCTCCACACTAATGTTAAAATTATAGCATAAATTATGATCTTCTTCGAGATGCGCTTCATTCAACGTATTTTTTAATTCTCTTCGTTGAACTTTTTAATAGTTACTTTTGAAAGAATACAGAAGGTACTCATACTACCTCATTGTAACTTCTCGTCGTAAACAGAAATGGCAAACTAGAGTTTGCGGTTGGTACACTTTTCCACGCCATTTTGAAAAGACTGAAAAACATGCAAATTGTGGAATTCAGCGTACTTTCTGAAAATCCCTTGTTACATAATTTCTTTAAATTTTAATTTCTAAAATAGACGTAGTTTCTCTGTCGAAAGGCCATCTTGCCAGATTAAACTTTTGGTTGTTGTAGCAACAGAGCGGCTATGCTCTCTGGTTTTTAACAAATTTATGTATGAACTTCCTCATTTTTTCCTACTTTAATATTTAACAGGATGTAAATAGACTATGATACACTATTGGACAGCGGAGTCTCAAACAAACAGCGCATTTTTCACCTCAAATACATCCTTTTAGAAATGATTTGGAAAAAAAAGGAAAACAGGGGCTGGTTTATTTTCATTGAAGTAACCCGTGTACTTTGAAAATGACTCACGTCCACTGTCCTCAACTGCTGAATGCGGATATGTTATGTTCTCTACCAATGGAGACAATCGCGGGCTCACACACGGAAACAACATTTGCGCAAAAATTGTTCAACACCATAGTAAATGGTTCAACTCGAGCAATACAGGGGCGAAAAAAAGGTAAACAAGATATTTAGTGCTGCTCAAACATCTTTGAAAACGTAGATCCCCAAATAATATTGGCTAACATCATGCTGCTTGCCTTCGTAAGCGGCTGGCTTCAAATTCAACTAACAAATTTAATTGCTCTATTTTAATTTACGATTTATTAAGTGAGAACGATAATTTCTGAACACATGAACAACGTTGCCGCAAACATCGACCTCAAGACGAATTATGCCTTAGCTTTTTGACATGTTTCAACATCAACAGATTTTGACCGGCAGATGCACTTTTTCAAGGGCTTTCAGACGCATCTCTATTTTCTCGCTGAAACGAATTAGTGCGAGCCAATTTTATTCCCCACTTTTGATATGAATTTGTCAGTTCTGAAGTGGCAATCGGAATCGGTTGTAGATTGGTGCTTATAACGCGCAGTACTCTGCTGCCGTAACTTGCAGGATCTCGTTCGTGATTTTCGCATAGTCATCTTCACTGTGTGCATACATGCTCTACCGTGAAAACATTGCACCCTAGCCTAAACTATGATTACCAAACTGCGGATGATTGAATTTAATTAATATAAATAAATAAGCCGATTAAATTAAAGACAAAATATAATGCAGGAATAGGTGGGCCTGAAAAAATCGGAACAAAATGAGGATTCCACGGAATTTGAGTCTGCGAGCTGAAGACGCGAACGAAAACACTCAGTTAAACCACCAGCAGCAGGTCAGATACGAGTTTTATTTACATTTAAAACACAATATCTCATTGTAAATTCTCAGTTTGCGAGTTGACTTGAACGAAGACCTCTGTTAAAGATTTGTCAAATACGTTTCCCTGTAATTTCTGATAATTTTTATTACAAAATTAGTTTAAAATGTTCTAATTTTCCCTTTTTGAGATGCAATCAAAACGCTTTAAAAATCTAAGGTGAAGCAGAACCCGTGTTCTGTCAATTATTTCTCGGTATTAACTTCCGTAGTACATGTAAGCTTTGAAATATATTTTTTGGCGTTTTCAGGTGAAAACAATATAGATGTAAATAAAATATGACATTTCCATCTAATCAATGCAGTACATGTACATTGTAGTCGCTTTGCTATGCCTACTGACAATCTGACTATGAAATGCATTTTTCATTAATCCTCGCCTCTGTCAATAATCTACATGGAGGAAGGAAGGCGTTAAACTAAAAAGGTTTTTATTTATTCATAGATGAACCTTACAGTGCAGTGCATCATCAGCTTGTTAACAACTATCACCTATCAAAACCGTTCCTTTTTTTTAATTTATGAGCTTTTAGATCCAGTCACGATGGAATTTGAGAAAAAACCTGAATTCTAATTATTCCGAATTTTGCACACTGTCGCAGAGGGAGGCGATTGGATTCAATATTCGCACTTTCAAGAAATTAAAACAGAGCTGAAATTTTTTACCTAAATATTATAATGAATGCAAAATGGAACCGTTTGCACAACTTTTATTTCAAGAGTCAAGTTAACCAATAAAAATGGAGAATTTCTCGCCAGCAAATAAAACCATCTGGTTGGCTTTACTCTGCATAAATATCGAATAGGTCTAATGCAATTTTCTATTTTAATATATTTTTTAAGAAAACAAGGGAAACGAGTCTCTTGTGTGACCACAATGTTTTTGTTGTTATTATAATAACCCAAGAACACCGTTGAGAGTGTATGTACTAAATACGCGTTCTGTATTAACAGTATGTTTTAGGTGAGAAGTAGACAACATCAATGAAAACGAGACAACGATTTGAGATAATTCCGCGAGTGGTTGATACAACCCAGCGAAGGATCATTTTAAACGTCGGTGGACGAAAGCATGAAACGTATTTAAGCACTGTGCGGAATTACCCGGATACACGCTTGTACTGGGTTGTGGAAAACGTCACAAAAGCCATCGACTACGACTCGGAGAAAATCGAGTTGTTCTTTGACCGTCATCCCGGAATCTTTGAGCAGGTTTTGAATTACTATCGCACGGGCAAACTACATTGTCCTCATGATGTGTGCGGCCCGCTCTTTGAGGAGGAGCTTGCGTATTGGGGCATTGATGAAAAGGAAATGGAGCACTGTTGCTGGACGTCCTACAGCCAACACCGTGACGCTGAGCAGAATTTAAAAAGTTTTAATGTGCACGAGGGTGACCAAGATCAGGACACAGATCTAGAGAGTGACCGATTAGAGGACACAACACCGGCACGAGACTGTGGTCGTTTCACCTGGTGGACTAAATACCAGCCGAAAATATGGCCAATTCTAGAGGAGCCTCACTCTTCCAAAGCTGCAAAGGTGAGGTTGGCTTCCGTGCGCTTCACAATTTCGATAATTTTTGTATTGATTAGAAAAACGTTGGTTTGACTTTGTTTATTTAGGAGTACATTCTGTAACAAAACTCATTTTAAACTCGTACCGCTCTTGAGAGTAGGGCGCGGTTAAGGCCTTTCGATTTTGGACGAAAATATATTTGCGAGATCTCGGAAACGTGCTTCAAATATTTGTGATATGTTCGTGTAATTCGTGATGTAAAAATGTGTTAGCGTTGACGCTAAATAATGAGATTCAAATCATGTTAAGAGAGCTGCTTGGAAGCAACAGATCCTGGAATTTTTCCTATTGTCGATAAGCAATTTTTTTATTATTACCTTCAATTTTGTAATATGCGATCAAAATGAATCGTGGCTTAAAATTGAGGAGTACCATCAAGCCGATGAAGGTGACGTTAAGTCGTTGAGTGAAGATGATGTCGGAGATTTATCTGGTGATATTACCCTGTTAAAACCACATTTTGAGATGCAAATTAACATTTGGTACTAATGAACGATTCTTGCTCCTCAGCCAGCGACAAAACATACTGTCACCTGTCACGTTACCATGCTGGTTTTTACAAAAGCTGTGTCCGATCAATCAGGAAATTGTGTGCTTTCTTTTCCCAAACTCTTTTTGCATAGTAATTAATTTCGTGTCTCTTCGCGTTTTACGACACCCCGCGGTGGATAGATGGTTGTTATTAAAACTGCCAAAATTCGCACTTAAATCTTTTCGAATAATTGCCTTTAAAAGCCGCAAAAACAAACTTTAGTTGAGTCAAGAAGTTCAGTGTTAATCACCTAAGTCTTGAGACGGCTGTTTATGCGGAATTAGAAAGAAATATTGTTTGCGTTACTTAGACATTTTGACAGTTTCGATAAGCAATTTAGAATTACAAAACCCGAGAATCTAAAGCAAACCTCAGAAAAAAAAAATTAAAATAAGCTAACCATTGTTGTATTAACTGGAAAATGATATGAAAACAATTGTTTCCTGTTAGGGAGCTTTAGCGTGCTGTGTTGCTTTCACTTTATTCAGTAAAAAGCAAATTGCTTGCAGGGTTGTTGAATTTGTAACTTTACAGCACTCGTTACTAAGGAAACAGCTCTAATTTTGCATTGGACATTTTTTGCAGCAAAAACCCGTTGTTAAATCACCTGAGCTATAACAAATAAATCTCCGTGGCCTGTTTTAATTAGCCTAAACTTTCCTGTGTTTAACTATCGCAAATCTGACATCGACTTTTACGACATTTAAGTTATCTAGCCGAACCGTGGACATCTGGAGGTGATTAACATGGAGTCTCAATTTTCACCGGAACGAATATCGAACCAATCAAATTGGATATCTCTTGTTTTCTGAAGCTTTACCTCTTAACCTGAAATTTATCTCGAAGCCGCCTAGAAAGGAATAGAAATTTGGAAACGATTCAGTAAGGATTAAAATTAATTGATTTTTCTTCACAGGATGGCGCATAAACACTCCATTTGTGATCACTAATGGAAACTGACCTGATGGTAAATTCGCACTACTAGGGTGCACTGTTTATTGAGAAATTATATGTATCAATTAATTCCAGCTGTGCCCATTCCTCCCTAGCTCCCCCTCCTTCCCGCCGGGCCGACGGACCCTGGGATTAATAATCGTTTGAAAATAAATATGCAAATGTCTTCGACCGGGACAGATCTTAACTGATCACTCCCCCAATGGGGCTTTTCAGGAAACCAAATGATGAAACAAATAATGCAAATGAACATAACATGGATAAAAATCCCAACTGGCGGGAGACAGACCATTTGGCTATGTATAAGCATGACCGAGGAGTTGAACTAGGGTCTACGGAGAAACAACTCCAGCTAAGTTGTCAGAGTGGGACTTGAACCCGCGACCTCCGGATTTCAAATCCGGCGTCCTAACCACTCGGCCACGCTGCCTCCATAAAGAATCCTATCTAAACGCACGTACCGTATTTGCCGATGAATAGGTCATAGTGGTGTAAGGTTAAAACTCGAGGTGGTCAATATGACCGGGGTAATTGGGGGTAAGGATCCCCGGGAAGGTCAAGGTGGGAAAATACCCCGCTATTACCCGGGGGATTTGCACAGCTGGAATTCACTGATGCATTACCAGAGAAAACAAAAGAAGTTAACGAGGCAACCTTGTGGATGTGACACTTAAGGAGTTTTTAGTTCCCAAAGTGACCGCCGTCTAATTCCACAGGGCGTTATCTTTATACTGCTAAGTTAATTACTCAGGTAAAACGAATATCACACAGGGTGCAGTTAACCTTTATACACGACAACTTGACAAACCATACTAAGTTTGCACCATCAGCTGCCTAATCAAACCCAACCGCATCTTTCCAGAACTCAGCCGCGTATATTTCTGAAGTTTGATCTTTCATAACATTTTTTTTTCCCATTTTTGAAATTTTTTTGTGAATTTTCTTTTGTTTTTGGTTTTTCAATTTAAACCACCGTGTTCCCTAGATTTAACAGCATTCTCCCTGCGCCGGTATAACATGCAATTTACGCAATTGTTTAAAAGGGGATCGACTGGCCAAATAATATATTGCGGGAAAATAACACAACATGAAGCCATCACATCACAAATACTGTCCCCAATTAGTTTTTTAAGCTGAATACTATTGGCACCTGAATAAAGTCATTCATTCATTCATTCATCTTACATTATAATAACAAAAAAAAAAAGCATTTCCAGAGATATAAGATCAAGCCTTTAGCAGGCTAGGCTTATTGATTGCTTTGGTTTTATTTTAGAGTTAAATAACTAATTGCAAGCTTCATAATCCTCTAGGACTAGCTTTCTCCATATTGTCAATAGCTCCATACCTTGAACGTTTGATGTTATTTTCACCGCGTAGTAAATCCACCTAGTGTCAGCTTCAGATTCAGTTCTCGTTTTGACCTCCATGGCATCCTTTAATTGAACAACTTCGATACTTTCGGTTACCATTGTCTATAGCACAGTCTTAAACATACAGTGGTTCTTTCCGTCTTTTGGCTTTGCGATTTTTCCCTCACATTGTCCTACAGTTTGAAAACATTACAAAGTGTCTCCTTAAAATTTCTAAACAGAGTTTGTTTTGAACAGAATTCCGTTCAATTTGCCGTTGACCACGCTGGTAGTTTTGGTGATATTTTGTTTTCTAAATTAGAGATTGCCTTCATTTATATACAAACTCGTGAGCTCGGTATCATCCACCATAATTTGGGAGAAAAGCAACCTTCCGACACCTTCCTTGGAAAATAAGCCTCTTGAATCTGAGACGATATCGTATGATTATTATCCCCGTCTTGTTTTTTTTTAATTTTTTTTTTTGTAACTAGGTTGCATGAAAGGTGTAGTGCAATGCCTCGCCCCTAAAAATAATAACATTCAAAGACCTAAAAACCACCTAGGTGAGGGGGGACACCCTCTGATAGAGGCCGGCCCGCCAACCTCGCCAGGGAGTCGAACCCGGCGCCTCACAACTAAATACGGAAAGAAGGAAACAAAACAGTGCAAAAACAAGCAAAAAATACTGAAAACACAAAATCGAAGGAAACAGTGCCATCTATACACAAATAAAAGCGCGCAGTGCGATGAAAATACGGCTCTGGTTCTTACGACCAAAAAACAACAAATCAAGTGCTACATGTCGTTTCCATATGGTCAGAACTTTAAACGTTCACTTGAGGACTTGTGTAGTGTTTCATGTCGTTATGCTATAAGAAATAGAATACACCATGACTGAGGTATTCTTGTATGCACCTGATACAATGTCTCTCAATCTTATTCATAACACTAGCCAACGCTGTTGTTGTTGTTTTTTTTATATATATATGGTGAACACCCGCCTGGAATTCGAAATAACTTCTACCGGCTAGCTCTTGACAAAACTAAGCTCAGGGCTCATTAATTGACACAATTTTACTATTTAATACCTGTGTTTTAATTTCTCATACAGGTATTCTCGATAATTTCCGTGGCCTTGATCCTGCTGTCCGTGGGCACATCGTGTGCTTTGACTCTTCCGCAGTTCTCCGAGGGCTACCGAGCTGCCGAAGGTTCTTCGGCCCCTGCTAGAGACGCTACCACAGACACGATCCTTAACACGATCGATTTCTTCTGCGGTATTTGGTTTACATTTGAATTGTTGCTACGGATAATCTTTTGTCCCAGAAGGCGTGTCTTCTTCCGAATGGTGTCGAACTGGATCGATATCCTGTCGGTGATGCCGTTTTATCTTCGGATCCTCGATCCCGATGGCGGTTCTCCGATTGCTGACGCACTGCTCATGATCCGCCTTCTACGGCTCTTCCGTTTCTTCCGCTTACTCTACGGCCTACAAATATTGCTGCACACCTTAAAAGCCAGCTCTTATGAACTCGGCTTGCTGTTGTTAATTCTTTTAATACCTGTGATTCTTTTCTCTTCCATAATTTACTACATCGAGCGAACCATGGATGGCCCCGACACAAAGTTTCGCTCCATTCCTGAATCGTTTTGGTGGTCGCTCATCACTATGACGACCGTCGGCTATGGTGACATGACTCCAAAAACCTGGGTAGGAAAGATCATTGGTGGAGTATGCGCAATCTGTGGCCTTCTCGTAGTAGCTCTTCCCATTTCCATCATTGGAAGTAACTTTAATCTTTATTATGCGCACGCTCAAGCGAGGCTTAAACTTCCAAGAAAAAGGAATAAAGTGTTGTTGAGTTCTATCACCTCAGATTTTTCCAATCGGGGTAATTTTTCAGGGGTCCGGCGCAGGGGACTACGCATGCGCAGCCAAGTTGGTCTTGAAACCGGAGAAGAAGAAAACCTAATAACGAGCATGCGTAATAGTAATTCACCCAGGCAAAATAGCTATCCAAAACAGAATGCTTGCGAAGCAAACTACAACACCAGAACTTGGAGTCTTCCATCCACTACGTCTGACAACGGTCAAAACAATGATGCAAGAACATCGGCAACTACCACAAGACCCACCAGAGAACGAAAATTTAGCCGCAATGAAAGGGTCATTTTAAAACTTGGAGATCTCCCTGAAAAGGACGAATCGGAAGAAAATGATTGTTCCAATAATCAGCCGCAAGCTTCCAAGCCAAATTCTAGCATAAATGACAGTTCCAGGAACAGTTTGACTGTTCCAGGTGTCACACGGCTTTCTTCGAAGGATCGTCTACCCCTGTGGATAGCGGAAAACGTCAAATCGTCTCGTATGCGTTCCTTCAGCGTTCCAACAAGTACGCATAAGCCATTCCCTACAGCTCCGCCGCGAAAAACACAATCACAGAGTTCAGATCTCTGTGAACGCTGCTCTTTGCCAAGAGAAACAAACAGCTTATATGGAAATGAAAACCATAAAAGTTCCTCAATGGAGGTATGTTGTTGTTCGGACACCAGAGGGATTGCACAAGAGTCTAGCCGCAATAATTCAATGTACACAATATACATTCCAGGCGTAGACGAAGGAGTGCAGGTGAGTATGGAAAGTTTGCCATCTTGGAGCAGAGAACTTCCGTTTAATGGAGTCTCGCCGGTCCAACTTGAACTTGTTCCTCACTGGAAAACAACCCTGTCAGATGACGGCAGTGATCCAGAAAATAAACGTGAACTGGACGAACGAGAAACACTTGTTAGCGAATTAGGTGATAGTCCACCTGCACTTGACAACCCTAGAAGAGAACCTAGCAGAGAACGTCCTCTTCTATTTATAGACATGCCAAAGAAACCTGATAAACATACTGACAACGAAACATCGATTTGAGATTAACCTGTTTAGTAGGTTGAATCCGAGTGAGCTAAAAATAAAACACACCCACAATCTTGGATATAATGTTTTAAGACTCAGGTGAAAGACTGTATGATTTGGTGCTTTTTCAAGAAAACATTCAAGAAAAATAGTTTCCCCATCCCCGTTTCAATGTTGACAAGGCTACCAAACCATCTGGCATCTGCCACGCAAAAAGTATCGATAATTGGCGTGAATGATATACAAATAGTGAGCTAAAACGTTCTATTTTCAAGTACATTTGATACATGGCAGTTAAGAGACGTTTCTCATCAGCTTTGTCTAACATTGTAGCCCGTTGTAAACAGTGCCGTATCCAAAATAAAATTATCACCTAGGCAATGTCCATGAAATATTATGACTGAGGCAAAAATCGACAAAAATAATGACAATAATAATGATAATAATGATAATAACTTTTATATATATTAAAAAAAAAAAACATTTACAAACTTTGTTGAGTATTTTTTCATACAAACTTGGATCTCACATGTATCTGGTAAAAAAATTCAGAAACTCTGTTGTTCCTTAATTAAGGCTGCTTTTCACTAGAGCATAAGCACAAGCACAAGCGTAAGCATAAGCACAAATGAAAACAGCCGCGACATAAACATAAGCATAAGCAGAAACATAAGAAGAACGAACCCACTTATTTATCTTGTGCTGTTTTCACTAGTAACGCGCTAGACATAAGCATGAGCATAAGCACAAGAAAAACAGAACTGTTCGTTTTTCTTGTCCTTATGCTTATGCTTATGTCGAGCACGTTACTAGTGAAAACAGCACAAGACAAATAAGTGGGTTCGTTCTTCTTATGTTTCAGCTTATGCTTATGTTTATGTCGCGGCTGTTTTCACTTGTGCTTATGCTTATGCTCCCTAAAATTATTATTTTCCCTAAAATAATTTCTGTAAAAATTTCAATAGCCTACCCACATAATTATACTCTGTAATAATAATAATAATAATAATAATA